AGTTCTTCCAGCTCTACCGCGTAGCCCTACCCTCGTACCAGCGAATGATAACATAACCTTACCTATGCCATTATTCTTCAGGAAGAAATTTTACGCTAAGTGACATGACCTCAAACCGACTTCCGATCTTTCTTTGATCAATAACTCCTGGAATTCTAGAGAAAAGACAGCGACTAAATTTCCATGTATAGGCAATACATTGTAGATGACAAAGGTGTATGTTTGGATGAGCAAGACTTCATATGAAAAAGAAAAAAAATTAAAATTCAAAAATACCCAAAGTGATTCACTAATTATGGGACAACCTATTAGGTTGGTGCTCCGATGATCGAGGTCAGGACAATTCAAGTGACTCACAGTAGGTTACTCATCTCCCTACTTTCCACGAAGGTGCTATTTATGACGAACGGAAACGGTATCCGAAGTTCCAAGCGAATACTTCAGTTTCCAAAAAATAAACATGCTCTTGAAAGTCACACATAGTAAGCCGAAAGGACCCACTAGCAGGGCCAAGAGTGCGCATCAAACCAGGGTGAATATCGGTCGAAGAAATCCTCGGCAGGAGGCTCGTATATGTGAGAGTCGGTTATTGGGACGTACACGTGGGGGTCAGCAACATCAGTACATCGTGGTGCAGATAGGAGTGAGGGGTGTATGTCGTTTGGCGCGGCCCTTCGCAGCAACTTTGCCATCGGGACGCATGGACCGTAATTGCCACACTCGCTCCTCCCATGTCTTGGCCAAACAACTCGTCCACATCAGCTAACCGCTAGATTTACGTAAATGGCCGATCTACAGTGGAGCGCGCCAGAAGGCCACACGCAACGATCGCAAGTGTCGCATAAACCGCGGTCGCAAATGGAAGGCGACGCGGTCACCCAATGCAAACCCAGACAACACGTGACTGCGCGTGATGGTATTTCGAAAGTCCTGTAGTGTGGAATAGTAGCTGCGTATTGATTATGCGACACTTACGATCGTCCGACAGCAACAATCGTAGGTGTCGCACTTCTGACGATCGATGCGCACCTAATGCTGTGCGACACTTGCGATCGTTGTAAATGTGCTGAGCATCTCGCTATTTGTCGTTTCCTGTCCTTTTATGGTGTGAGGTTGAAATTGTACTTCTACGCTCAAAAGAAAGTGAAGATGTTCTCAACGCGCTGTTCAAGTCACGGAGGGATCCACACTGCACTAGTTTGAGGTTCTGGTTGAGTTCAGTACGTGACGCTGACACTGAATTGGTGAGCTATGGAGATTAAGGTATCCTTCCCACTGGAATAGATCCTACAAGTTTCGAGGCTACAGCTGATTCCGTGATCTGATGTGGACTCTCCAGTAAAATTTAACTGTGATTGTCATCCATAATGAGTATGACTTTGCGTCCATTGCGGTCCTGTTTCATTGAATGCTCCCTTCCATTTGGATACGGAAATTGATGTTTTCTAAGATTTGATGTGATTAATTGAGAGTGATTTATTTCTAGAATTCTTTTTTTTCTTTTTTCTAAAAATTTTTTCTAAAATTTCGGTGTCCGGTTTCATGAGACCGCTTCTGAAGAAAAATATAACCTTCTGAATGGAGGGGTTTGGATTGCAACGTAATTGCTACAAGGTTTAGTTTTTCAGATTATAAAATAAGGAAAATTGAGAGATCGAAAAAAACTTGGTAGGTTTCTGAAAGTAGAAATCTTGTGATTAAATCATGTATTGGTTACGCAAAAATTTG